ATTGTCAAAGATCTCATCGCATGTTCTGTGTTGGCAAAACAGATTCTTCAGTCACGGGCAAATGGATGCCTGCAGCATCAGTTCAGATTTGCAGACTGCAACTAGATTCTCCATTACATTATTGTTGGACACAAGATCCTTCAGATGCCTTCTAAGAAGAAAAGAGTTGCTAAGGACCCTTCTGGTTTCTGAAGATTAAATTAAGTCTTTAGTGTTAACAAGCAAAAGTTCTGCAACTGAAATGCTGATTGGTACAGTGTATTTATCTCTTTGTCTCTTGAGGTTGGTATTTAAACCTGACCGCAGTATTTTGTTTCTGCTGCAGGTTAATGCAGCCACTTTTTCTGAGATTCTTGCTACTTGTTTTGACAACATCACCACGTGTCGGCCTCCAGTTTCTCAAATCCTTTGATGTAATGAGATTTGTGGATGTCAGTAGAATTCACCACCTATTCACCTGCTCTGGTGGCTGTCTTCTGTCTGTTTTCGTTGGCACCTGAGTTCAGTGAGCAAAAATGTTAAGTTGGATTTGGCTTTGCTGCTTTTAGGGTTAGCACTCAAGCAGGTCCCTGGTCTGAAGATCCACCTAGCTCACTCCATGCTCAAAGCCATCATGACAGTTTATATTAAAAGAGAATTAATGATCCAGGTTTTTAGTCCTGAGTTAAGAGGAAAGTATAGTAGGATAGTTGTTTGTCTGTTTGTATATTGATTACCATGATCACCTGTATGTATAAGATGCAGTTTTCTTTCTGATGTGCAACACTACACCAAATTCATTAAGAACCACAGGATTGCCACTTCATTGTTGCATTCTTTCCCGTTCTTTGCATTCACTAATGCAGAGAAGGGAGCCTTATTGCATTGTTTAAAAACTGGAGCAAACCTGTTGTCCCTGGGACTTGTTTTCTTGCCAGGCTGGGTAGAATGAACTTCTACTAACTGTCCAGATAAGGAAAACCCATCAGTGCAAGATTGATGGATATGCTAATAAAGAAAAACAATGTACAAGAAGAGTATTTCCCATCCGTGTGTTTTACATTAACATGAGACTATCAAGGTAGCAAAAGAGCTTTGGGTGGGAGTGGTTGTCAGGAGTACTGAGGTCTGTTACTGTCTTTACTGATTCTTTATGAGTTTATAAATGCTCTTGGGCTCAGCATTTTGTCTTCTGTATTCATGGTTAGTTCAGGCTGTGGACTAGTGACCTGAGTTTTAGAGCTGATGCACATCTGCTGCTGCCTTTGAAGTGGGTAGGATTTAGGTAAGTTGATGGATATTCAACATCTCTGAAAATGAAGCTGCATGTATGAGTTCTCAGCTTCCTAGGTTTGTGTGCCTGAAGGAAAGGATACAAGTTTGGAAATGTTGGCTTTAAAATATACTTTCGTTTCCAGTCTTGTAAGCAGACAAAATACATTTCACACCACATGGGGTACCCAGGAACTTAATTAAGGTGAATTAAGTGTTTTAAAATCTTTGCAGAACAGAAGCTGCAAAGTGTGTGCAGAATAATAACAACATGTGTATGTTCGTCAATGAGAACTAGAGTTCTAGATATAAGAAATGCTTTTGGGATAAGATATGGCTAAGTTTTATCTCATCTTTTTGCCATGACATCAGCCTGCCTGGTCACAGTTAGCATTATTTTAGCCTTCCCTGACCAGGACCTACTACTGTTAATTGAACACAAGATGATCATAATAGCCTTGTTAGGGACACTGTGAACCACAGTATGTAACTGAATAGTATATTACACTGTGAAACGAGGACTATGAAAAGAGAGTGTCTCAGATATAATGCAGAGCATTTCACATGGTAATCTTGAGTTAACCAGATAGCAAACACGTAGTAATACAAGAAAGGGGGAAACTTTTTCTTGCTAAGGTATTACACATTTTTCAAAATCTTGCCTTGATCATAGTGTTTCACTGAATTACATTTTTATTAATATTTGGAAAAGTCTTCTGCATATAAGCAGTGATCATTTCCGTGTCTTTCATATTTTAGAATGTATTTTAAGATTTTAGCAGTACTGCTCAGTGCAATATGAAACACAAATACACTGTAAGATTTTTTTTTTTCAAAACCTGAAACATACCAATTCACACCAAAACTTAAAAGGCAGAATTGGCTCCAAGAAAACACATCAGTTTAAAACATGCATATCTCTAGTCACTGCATTATCTTTACTTGGTTCACTGGAAGAGCTCTCAGTACAGATGAATTAGATACTTTTGAGTAAAAGAGCCCATCTCTTCCTTGCCATGTGAGAGTTCCCTGTGCTTTTAGTAGAGACTGTGCTGTCAGTTAAGTTCTTACTAACCTTTTATTAAGGACTTCTGTTCATGCCGCTTCCCATCTTAAACATGTGAAAATACTAAATACTTTCTAAACTTTCCTAAATAACAGGGCTGCTCCTTCTCAAGAAACAGTAGCTGCTCAGATTGTTTAGCTGAAAAAGTAATGTTAAGGATAGTTGCAGCTGCCAAAGTCTGGAAACTCAGAGTTATATCTGACATTTCATTCTTCACCTTAACTATTGAGCCTTGGCCATTCGTTGTTTTTTCACAGTGCTTTGGAGTTAGAAGGGAGTTTTACAGATGAAAGATGAAAATCAAAATAAACTCCTTTATCAAGTAAACCTTGCAAGGGCATTTTGAATTTTACAACACACAGGGAGTTGATTGTGATATAACATACAACACAAGAGGGTTGGAATAAACAATTTATTCTCTATTGTTAGGGATGGCCATGCATAACTGACTTATGGCTTTGGTTTGCTCTGCCACTTGTTACGTGTGCAGTCATCCCTAACTCATACCAAAAATAGTTTATCAAAGTCCTGTGTTGCATAGTTTTTATCAGATGTTCTCTCATTAAAAACTTTACCTGGGAGATCGAACATTTCAAGAGACTGGCAGTGCTTACGAAGGCTTTTCCCAGAGCTTGGTCTCACTGAGTGGAGTCTGTGCCAACAGTGATCATGAGACAGGTCCTGATGCCCTACACAGATTCAGGTAACAGTCATCATTTGACAGTACGTAGCATGTTCAGTGCAGAGGTCAAAGGCTGTCTTGTCAGAAAGACTGATGGACCACAGGGTCTCCCCGCAAGTCCGGAGCGAAGCAGCAGGGTAGGACAGCATGGGACAGTGTCACCGCCCCCGCGGCGTGGCTCCTGCCCCTGCAGTGAGGGTTTTGTTTCCTCCACTGTCAATTCAGGACCTTCTCTGAGCCCTAAATCCATTTAAAAATGAGCAAGGACATCTGCCAGTTAATTCTCTGGCCATCCTTGTGATAGATGTATCTGCATTCTGTAGTTGTCTTTTGGATAGCCATTTGACAGTTTTTATTCCTCAGCATCATGTGGATCAAGCCTTTGGCTGCGTACTCCCTTCCTGAAGGAGGTTCCTTTCGGGTAGCACGTGTCTACAGCGCAACCTAGTTCATCTTGCCTAATCTTCTCAAGGGAGGATGCAATCCTGATATAAATGTAAATTGGCGGCTCCCCGCCACACTCACTCTGGGTAGTAGTTGGAGCTAAGCCATGGGTGTGCTCTCAGTAGTAAAGCACCCGTGCCGGAGTCCACTGCTGAGATTGGAGCTCATGGGCAGTGGTTTGACCCCTTGGTGTGCAGTCGTGGTGGTGGGCTTTGGTTTGTGGCATTCTGTACCTTTCTTGGCCAGGAATGTTTGCCGCCGACTGATGTACAGATTGCTGCAGTGGTGTCAGGCTTGGAAAAACGTTGGTGTTGGGCAAGGGTGCTTTCCACCAAATGCATGGACCCCCTGCACATTCGTTCATATCTGCGTTTTTTCCAGGCTACGTCACCTTCCTACTTCATGGGAACATTTTGAGCATAGACCTTTATTCAGCGCTATCACACCCAAGCTTAGTATAACTGATGAAAGTTCAATTATATGCGAAGTGACTATTAAAGCATCAGGGCTCATCTGGGGGTCTGGGCCTCCCCTCCCCTTTTCACTTACAGTTGTGCTGAATCCCTTAATGTTGCAACGAAATCGTGCATTCATCAGGTGGAGCGTTGGAGGCCAGGGTGCAGATAACCGCTTTTACTGCATATGAGACATTGCAGTCCTGTTCTTAAGAACTGCCAGGCAGATTGGGAATCACGGTCACGGTTAATAGCAGCGAATTGCCAGCTCTTGATGGGTGGGTAGTCACTCCTTTCAGTGGTTGCCCCCTGGGGGAGAAGGTAGAAAAACAGAGGGAGGGAATTAGAGTGACTTTGCACAGTTGAGCAGGTTCATGCCGCTGGATCAGTGGCAAGCATTGGCAGGGCTCCACTCTGGGGAGGCTCACAACAACATCACAGTCTCATTTTTACCAATTGGTGTTGCTATAGCCAGTGGTGCACAGGGGGAGAGCAAAGAGAAGGGGGGCAGCCGGGGGGGAAAGTGAAAGCAAGAGTCTGGACTAAATTAAACAAACAAAAGTGCTTGTAAGTAGCATTTAACCCATAACCATTAGCCCAGTGCTGCTAATTGTACTAAACTATATATCTGAAGTTCAGTGTGTGATTAAAGAGTTGGCTCACAAACTCTCTGCATAACCTTAATTTTTTCAAGGTTCTTTGAGTGTAGAATGGCTTATAATAATGATTTTGACTAATACGATTTTTGACATGCAACTTTAATGCTTAACCTTAGTACAACTCCAGAGCATTTCATGTGTATTCAGCTGTAAAGAGTGATGATTTAAAGGGATAATATAAGAAAAAGGTCGTTCTAGAATGAACCTCTAACAAATTGCATAAAGGAAGCTTATTATTCCATGAGTAGAGAGATATGCAGCTTTTCTGATCATTTTTCTGCTTGGTTCAAAAAATTGTTGAGACATGATTGGGAAAAGAAACACAAAAAATGAAATAGAAAACTGCAAGCAGTGAACATTCTTTTGATGGTTATGATTTTGTTGCCACTAAAAATACTCCTCAGTAATGTGGTTGTTCATCTTTCCTCTTGTTTTGGGTGAAGAATTCGTTCCAATAAGAAAATGCTGTTATTGGTTGGAGGATTGCCTCCCGGACCTGACCGGCTACCCAGCAATTTGGTTCAGTATTATGATGATGAAAAGAAGACGTGGAAAATACTGACAAGTAAGTGGTTTATTTTTGTACAGTTGTCTTGATGAATTTAAAAACATGGTTAATCAAATTAGACACTTTATTGATTTGTTTCTCTTCAGAGATTTGTTTATGTATCACAAGGGGCTTCACAATGGAGCAATAAATTGAGATTGCAGAAGATGCTAATTTTATAATAGGATCGGCCTAAATTAACATTGGCTTAAAATCATTCCAGTAAGTTTTTTAAGTGAACTTGTAAGTCTTTCATACTGCAACATGAATACATGCATATTTATGCACATATGAATAAAATCTGATTTAGGGAGAAAAGCAAAAGGCAATGTTCAAGACAGTTTTCTCAGAGTCAGATCCCTGGTAAGTCATAGTACTAGAGCACACCTTTGATTCTCTTTTGCATTTTCATTTCCTTCTTCCAGCTTTATCTGTTGTCCACAATCATTAAAGAAAGGTTTCCTCTGTACTGCTCTGCGTCCATTGCTGACAGAAGCATTGGTGGAATATATCAGCTACAATAAACAGTGCATGGAGGCTCCTATCACAAAATTCTTTCCCACCTTCTTTTAAAGGTTGATTGTGTTTTAGAGTAAGTATTTTGCCTTGAGCATCGAGATTTGGAACTTATTGTTATGTTGGTTGCGATTCCCAGTCTGACTTGGTCATGGAATCAAATCATAGCTTCTTGAGTGCAGCAGGCTGTGTGTGCATTAGTCCCCTTGTGGCTAAACTGGCTGCACTGGTCAATAAAACTAAATTTTAACTGTCAAAATTGCCCAAAGCAGTATAGATAAAATAATAAATGATCAATTTTGATCCATAAATCAAAGCCAAACTTCTAAAACTGGACAACTGGTAAAACCCAGATTTCCTAATAGATCTGAATTTTTCCCCCCGTAAAACAGATTTTACAGAATTCTGTTCTTCATCCCTTATCCAAAGCCCTTTAGTGGGATACATCCACATTAATGTTGTATGCACAGGTTAGGATGAAAAAAGAATTAAAAAGACTGCTATGATGCAGGACTTGAAATTATGCCTTTTCAAATTGCTTTCTTCTATGGAAAATTTAGGAGCCTTTCTCAGAGTGCTGCAACATAAAGACTGCTTAGGTATAGATGCCCTGGACTAATAGTTGAGGGTATTGTATAAGAATGGCAATTACAAAAGGTTATTATGAACCATACGTTAGAAAAGTGTACACCATCTGTACCATGGAACATACTAAGCTTCACATTTTTCAGATTAGTGAGATATGATACCTCTGTACGCTACTTCTAAGAAAATTCTGAAGATGGTAAGTCAGTGAAAAACGAATGATACTACATAAGGCAGAAGTGTTCAGGTTTTTTGAATTTGTTGTGTTTAATCCAGCGTCTCACCAGAAGAGGCAGGAGAAATGGATGTCTTGCTTCAAGATCTGAACTTTCTACTGTATTAAAGTAAAAAACTTTATTCCATATCTTCCTTATCTGTAGATATGTCAGATTTTGTAAGAATGAAATTTACTCAGTTCTTGGTTACTTACATTGTGATGCTGTCTCCAAGACTGTGAGAAACTGGATCAACAGACATGATACTCAAATGCTCTGGTTAAAAGTCCATCACTAATATTTGAGTAGCAGGACCATCTATGATGATGTTGAGAGATGTTTCTGAATAATTTTATGCTATTTTATGAAATGAATGTAGTCTTTTCTATGTTACCTCTAACAAGTAGTAAACAAAAACTCTCATTCTGCTCTGGTTAATGCACTTCTGTGCTGTGATTAAAAGGTAATGCATCTGTTACAGTCCTAGCTAGTTCATGTTCAAGCACTTGGTGCTCAGCACTGGAAGGTCCTGGTCCTGAAGGTCCCAGGATCTGTCTCAGTGTCGGCTGAAACAATAGCTGTCAGATACACAACCTTCCTGTGACATGAGTAATCCTGTTCTTACAAAACCTGCTAGAAATTGATGCCCTCTTGTCCTGGACTACTGTTCAAGGAACACGGGAGAATGCTTGTCTTTTCACACTGAAAAAGACTAGATGTTAACAAGAATGATTTCTTAGCAAATATTATTACTACTCAACAAATGGTAGCAATAATTATTTTTTTAAAAAAGTTGAAATGAAAGTTTCAAGTATCTCCTGCTTTATTTTCTGATTTATTATAAGAGAGGATGGGAAGTGGAGAGAAGTTGGAGTAGAACTTTTGTCCTGTCCTTTCTGTAAAACGTTGAAGGACTCTCTAGCATAGGTGTGCAGGGGCTTGAAGAACTGTGACTGAGCAGTTTTAGGGAATACCACAAACTAATCACCTTATGATGATAGTTCAGTGCAGTCATGGTGGTGTATCAACATTTACTGTGTGTGAGAATTTAAGGACATTGTTCTATCTCTATTTTTCAAGTACTTTTTGTAATTTAAGAAGCACATTTATTTCCTTCCTTTACCCTTTCACCTCTCTCCCAGTCCACAGTTTTGCAGAATAATTGGTCTGCTTATTCTTACCAGAAATGTACAATCAGCAGCAAAGGAGGAAGATTTTTTTTCTGTTTCTTTCTCACCTGTTTAGACAGTGATGTCAGTCCTGAGGTTGCTGTTCACCCCCAACTCATCAGTGCAAATGAGGAGTTTGTTCCCTAGTGAACAGGGACAGACCAAAAGCCTTGTCCTGCTTGTGAGGTTTTGTGATGGGAAGAATCTCAGTCCTTGTAGTCTGGTATTTAAGTGTTCTATCTTCTTATTGCCTTAGGTGTATTTGATTCCCTCCTGTATTAGCAGATGTTTACAAAAGCTTTTCTTTAACCTTCTGCCCTCCAGTAGACTCCTCCACGCACCAACAAAAGGCCAGGTTTTTTACTTAGAGTCTTACTGATCCAATGTAAATGTGCACAGAAATTCCTCTTTCCCTCCTCCAAACCCATCTACATTACTTGTTCTCTGCTCTCTGTGCCTGTGGCATTTGGAGGTCAGGAAGGTGGGAAAGAAGCTTGCAAACACTGTGTGCGGTGTCAGGGCCACTGAGGAGGAGATGGATGAGAGGAGACCAAACCTCCTCTTGTCACCCTCCACTGAGAGAGGCCTCAGAAGTTACTCAGCAGGGCCTGCAAACCCATTTGAGAGGGAGCTGCTCGCCTCTTGCCTTTTTCCTTCTCAGCGTGGAGAGTGGCTGTTGCAACCACTCGGTTGCTTAGGGCTCTGTGTTCTGCCTTGTGTGATGCATAAGGAACAGGAGAAGATCAACCATCAGAAACTACTGACTCCATGTAAGCCACGGTGCTGCAGTTGGAGCTATGAAGACAGTTGCAGGTGGAACAGCACAAGCTATCGAGTATGACAGCTCAGCAGAGTAGCAATCTCATTTTATTCCTGCGACAAGACTAGATCTATTGGCAGGGTATACTGCCCACCTCTCTCTGCCTGGCTACCCAAAGCACCAAATGCATCAGTACTAATGGGAGTAATTCTAAAGGTATCAAGAAAACAACTTGCCTTGTTCATAGATCCAGAAGAGGAGGGGAAGCATGCACTCATTTCCAATTTTTAATGTCATCATCTATAGGCAAGAATGCTATGGCTCAAGGGATCGGTAGATTTTTCATAGTCTGGTATTACTGCATATTTTTCCTGTCTGGTATTTCTCTAAGAGTTTTTTTTTTCTATGTTGGCAACAAAGAATAGAGGCAGAATAAAGAAAAAAAAAATAGAAAGTAAGTGGCATTTTACAAACATTTTCTGCCACCTAATTTTACTTGATGTGGGCACTCCTGATCTGAGATTTGTAATGTGCATGTTGCTGTTTAATTTGAAACACTACTTATTGCACAGTTGTGCCTGAGTGCAGTAGAGGCTTTTCTAGACTGTATGGCAAAGTACAGCGAACAGATCTTCACTGCCTGGTTTCTTTCCAGACGTGCCTACACGTGCACAAATACCAGTTCATTTTTTAACTGGGTACTACCTATGTCACGTAGCAGCAACAGGCTACCACTGCCCAATGACACAAACTGAATGGCTGATGGGTGTTCGACAGACCTTAGTAACAGCCAAAGTTCTGCTCTGTTAATGGGCTTTCATCATTCCACGGTATTTCGCAGTCTTCATAACTACTAAGGATGTGGGGCAGCGGGGGTGTCTCCATGTCATCACCTCATACCTCACTGCTCAGAACCAGCCACTGCTGCTTCAGTTTTAATTACCATCTACAGTCCTGCCAGGAGTCCTTTTTTAATTGTAGAACTCCTTTTGGTTGTTTGTTTTAACTGCAACATTTAAGATTAATTAAACTTTAAGGGAGTGAAACAATGTTTTGTTTGTTAGAATTATTCTATAATAATTGCAAGTTTCAAAATCCAGAGCCTATAAAGATTTTTTGTGTTCAGAATTGCATAGCTCTCCCAAAAACCCTACTGCTAAGGCAATGATGTATTACTTTCACTTTCATTATATGTTTTTAATCAGAGCGTGACTTCACACTAGACAAAGCGATGCTTTATGCATGGTCTCACTTGTTTTTTACTAAAATCTTTTGACATGATTAATTTTACTTTAATGCTTTTGTCTTGTTGTAATAGTAAGGATGATGGGTATAAACCAGGGCAAAAAAATACATGCTTTTCTGTCATAATGCCTCTAAGCATTTAAAAAATATATTAAATGAAAGAAAAAAATATCACAAGAGACTGATCCAACTGGAATTAAATTTCTTGCTACGTGAACAGAGAATGCAAGAAATAAATAAAAATGATGCAGTCATTGTTTTAGTTTTTTTTTTTTTTTTTCCATAGCAATGTATCCATCTGTCTGATTAAAAGCAATGAGTAGGAGAGAAATTGTGTCTTATAGAATTCTAGGTATACAGCAAATCCTCCTTTCAATGCAAAATTCCTTTTTATTTAAAGCATAAAAGGGTAAAATACTGAAAACGTTACAGAACTTTTTACATGGCACATTCCAGCCACGTGAAGCTGCAGCTGCAGCAGATCTTTCTTTCATATTGGTACTTTGTTTTTCAATAAGATGCTAATTG